TGCAGAAAAAGACAGCGCTGCCTGCACCCTTGTTGCCGCCAACTCTCACAATACACCTTGTCCCCCACTACTATCTTTGTACCTTATTTCTTGCAAATGAAGTTGAAGAAAAGAAAATAATATGCTGAATTTGATATTGGGCTTGATGTGATTTCCTAATGGCTCATGATCCAAGACAAAGGAAAAGAAACCCTAGCTAGTGTTGAAGCGGTAAAGCAGCAAGCAAAAATATTATTTTCGGAAGAATTTCCTCTGGGATTTATCGTCTCTACAAGGATCAGTGTGAGGGAAAGAATGCCGTTCGACAATCTCTACGTCTCTAAGCTTGGGTTTGAATGGTTTGGGATAAAAATTCAAAAGGAAAAACATTAAACAAGAAAATAAGTACATTCTTAAGAAATGAGAAAACTCGTCAGGAGTTGTATTTCGTTCTACCTATCATGTACTAAAAAAATATATGGATCAAAAGCACGCAACCTAATTCGCTCGTCAATATCATCACGTATCGCTCACAACAGAGCTTATCTCTAACGCAAAGTCGAGAGATCAACCGTATCGTCTCATTGTTGATCTCTCACACAACTCGACAATACGGAGCATTAAGAATCGATACCCACGTGAATATTAGTCCTAAATCTATCTCTAGCATTTAGAATCTAATAAATGTTCATCTTAGATCGAGTTCAAACAGTATATGTCTATAGCAATCCAAACCCATTAAGTAAAAAATCAAGATAAGCATCGATAAAGAGTTGTAAAAGAGATTTTATACAAAGATCCATAAATATACATACAATCAAGATAAACTTACATACAAAACCCCAACAAATGAAAAATACATAGAGAGGAAGGAAGAAGAACACAAATCTCACGGTCTGTCAACTTCGATTGAAGTGGATTTAACTCCGGATCGTCAAGATGCACCCTCCAATGTTGTTTCTAAGCTAAATCTACTCAAGAATGTGTTTGATGAAGTTGGGGTAAAAAGTTCCCAAACAACATGCCCTAAAAAATGCTCAAAAATCACTTAAATAGACAAAATTGGGTCCCAGTATTCGCCTGGCGAAGTCCCGTTCGCCTGGCGAACATATGCAACATTTGCTACTGTCAAAACAGTGTTTTTCACGCGTTTTAGAATTTTCTGTTCGCCTGGCGAACATGACAGCAAACCAGCACTTATTTCGACCATAACTTCTGAACCGTAACTCCGTTTTACGCGCGGTCGGAAGCGTTGGAAAGCTTATTCAATGCTCTATAAGATAATGACAAAATATCATTGCTTATATACCTACAAAAAATGAGAAAAATCAATTAAACTCAATGAAATTTACGCGACACTCAATATATACACTATAATTTAAACTATACAACATATGCACAAAAGTTGAGGTTTATTGGTTGAATCAAGCCAATAAGTGCCAATTATTTACACTCTAAATCAGTACATTTTAGGACTTATCAGCTAGAGGCTTATAAATAGACCTTATTGAAGATTAAGGAGGGAGTTCAACACCGTAGAGAAATTCACAAAGAAGATTATTGCAAGGAAGAGTGGAAAGAAGAGAGAACTTATTCTTCTCACCATTTCTAGTGCTAACTAATGAAGCCTGGTGCAATTGGAGTCATCACTTGCTGATTATCCATCACAAGGAGGCTGCACGTTACTCTTAGGTTGCTATTTATTTTTCATCTTTTGTTTAAGAATGTTTCCTTTCAGAACCAGCTTTGTAAGTTGTACTCAGCTCATTATGAGCTAAACCCTTTGTTTGTTGAGCAATGAGAAGTTAATATGAAGTTGTTTTTATGCTAAAATGATGTGTTGATAGTGCCTTGTTTTATCATGTGGTAACATGTTTAAATCTAACTCTTTGAATGATCAACTTAGAGAAAGATAAAAGCTTGTTATTGCGAGAGATCCAACAACAAGTGGATTTCATAATAAAAGTAGTTGCACGAGTAGGATAGAGATATTCACTCATTTAGTTTTCTTAGAGATAAGAAACTACAACTATAAAGGAAATTCAGAAGATAAACAGATGTATCCTAGGGTTATAAGTATGACTTAGATATTTGTTCCCTTTCCCTACTATGCATTTTTTTGATGATGTAGAAATACACTCTTAGATCACTCACTGAACTTTCCTGGCATAACACTTCACATCATATACATATAGTTACTTCATGCATATTAATGAATCATAACTCAACTTACACTCTCTTGATATATTCATTACACTCTTTCTGCACTATTAAGATATTGATTTAAGGGAAACTGAACTTGTGACAATCAACTATTCTTTTTAATTTTGCTCGTGCTTGATTTCCAAAGATAGTTACTTATAAAATAAACCAAAGTTACTTCCACTCCTTGTGGGTACGATATCCTTACTTTTTATCACTTTCTACTTTATAACAAACATGTATACTTGCATGTAACACGTTTTCAAGCAACAGTGGGATCATGAGCATGGTAAACTACAAACTGATTGTCACAAGATGGATGTTGGTTTGGTGAAACTGATGTGGGTTTGATTATATTGGACCCAGGTTGGTTCTGTTTCTAGTTTCCATTTCCATCATCATATTGATATGATCAATCTTCTCGAGGTCTTCCATAAGAACTTGGAGCCCATATCATGATAAAGGTAAGGTAAAATTGTGATTCTTTCTAAACAATAGACCAAACGTGTTCGAGTTATTGGCTCATCCAACGCAACAACATTCATGAGTCGCTCGTCCAACTATTCATCAGAGACTCGGCGAGAACATGCATGGTTGCCCCGCCTTTCTTGCTCTTAGTCACACGCAACAAGATTTGACTCATCCAAAAAACGTAAGCGCCCCTGCGCAAGCCTCATTTTTGAGTAAAGTCACCCTAAAGATTAAAGATAGAAATGGATAAAAAAAGGGGGATGAGACTTCTACAACGAGCTATACCACCCAAGCCAACTGAGGAAAGTCGCATCGCCCTATCTCAAGCACCTACAAAGTCATAATCACATTGGTTTACCCTTTTTTCTATGGTATTTCAATGAATTGTCGCCCTTTCAACAAGAAAAGGTACAAATATAGAAACTTCTCTGCCATTTGGATCAGAGAATTTATGAAGGAAATCGACTTTTTAATTTTCAGAAACCACACGATTATATAGTCAAAAGGAATACGTCACACCTAAAATCACCCGAGAGGTGCTATTGTGGCTACTAAGCTATTTCTTTGGAAAGCTCCTACTGAGATGGAAAATCCCCGATAAACCTGTAAGTACCAAGTGAACTCATATTGGCCAAAATGGAAGATAAGGAAATGATAGAGAGATTCGACATGGGGATCACTAACCCTCTATAATATCTAACAAGTCGAGTCCTACATTGGTCATATAGAAGACCAACACATAGAAAAAGAGATGAAGGAACTAGTCCATGACTTAACATCAGTGGAATGCTACCTCAAATTCCTTGTATGTTCGATAAAGCCAAAGATCCCCCACACTGATCGAAGTATGCCGATTACCCCCGTTAACCGTACAAGAAGTTACCTTCTATCATACGACTTTCTATCTTAACTTTTTTTTTTCTAGTCGTTCTGCTCTGTCGATTGATGATAGTTTAAGAGATCTGTAACCCCCCATTTTTTTACATAAAGTTTCATACTTTCTACCCATAATTAACATGTATATCCTTGGGTCATACTTGAGTATCACATCGTAGACCCCTCCCCAATTCTATCTTCCTTATCACTGAATAAGAAATAACGCATAAGTACTTTTCAATGCATCGGGGATGATATGACATACTACGATCACGTACAGAAGTGTTGTCCTTCAGCTCGGCAATATGGAACCTCTTAATAACCTTCATTTCTTTATGAGGTCCTATCGGGATAGGTAGGCCTAGCCCAAGCCTTCACCCTCCCTCCATAAAACCCTCATTCTCTTTCCCCCTCGAGAAAGAGAAGAAAGGTTTTTTTCTTCATATTTTTTCATGTAAATGACCCTATCTTGTATCAAAAGGTTTTGTGTTATACGCCATGTTGAGAAAGATCACCCTTCTATGTAATGTACCATTTTTTAACCCATGAATTAGAGGTCATACTTACGATGATACAAATTTCTTTCAGAAGTTCAAGAGGTAGACTTAGACGAGGATAGGATTGCGCGTGGCGAGCCCCTCCGTTGGGTTGTCAAATTTTGGTCGAGTTTCCCGTACCTCCGACCTTTAAGTTATGCGACCATAATCTTTTTTTATGTTCCACCACTGTTAAGGTTCCACGCGAGCTCCCGTTCTATAATACGACAACAAGACAACAAGACCGATAAGAGAATGACTCCAGTTGAGATATGGTAAAATCTATAGGAGTCATTTTATAAAAATTCATCATTTAACCATGTCATATCACTAACTTAAAATATCAGTGCAATTTTGCAGAATACACGATGACCATTAATTGATAGTGCATATAAAGAATAAAGAAAATGTTTATTAGTAAGAAAAAGGTAAAAATAAAAAATGCAAAAATAAATCTCAACTATTCATTATCACCACTACTCCATGATTCAAATTAAAAGGTAAATTAAATTTAAAATCAATTTAAAATTCATATTAAAAGATAAATTAAATTTAAAATCAATTTAAAATTCACTTCTAAAATAATAACATAATAACATGTGTGCATTCTTGCATTTATTCTTCAAATTATTTCTTACTAAATAAGAATAAATCACGAGAATAAATGTAATGCATTGAAAAATTCATCAATTTAACCATCTTATACCACTAAATTAAAAATATATATGTGATTTAACATAATAGTATACTATGATCATTAATGACAACGTAAAATTTGCAGTGCATTATCTATTTTCTTTTCCGTATATACTTTTCTTTTTCAGAAAGCAAATAATCAATTCCATATTTCTAATTTGCATTTTCTAACGCGAGCTCACAACCTCCTCAATTCGTGCCTTCGAAAATGAACAACCACTAGAAACTTCACATTCTTCAATGGCCACAAACTCCCAACACGACGACGTTTTCTTCGATGCCTTCCACCAATGTCCTTTCCACCATTGCTCCGGCACCACCCACCACAACATGCCAGAATCTCCCCCCTCTTCTTCCGGTCAACGCGACCCTGACCCACCCTCTTCACCTTCGTCCACCAAACTCCGTCGCCGTTCAATTTACCGTCTATCACTGGATAAAGAATCACCCGACACCGTTTCCTGCACCAATTCGAATAACCCTGCAACAACGAAGAGTCAAAATCCTGCAGTTTTGAAGGAAAATGAGAATTTTTACGAGGAAGGAAAATTTCATCTGTCTCCATCTCCGAGTGGTGTTATCGAAGACGATAGAAACGAGGAATCGACGTTAACTACAGCTACACACGACGAAACACTCGGTGATTCAGCTGATTCAGCGGGTGAACTAAACGATTTATCTTCGAATTTACTTGATTATGCAACGGGGTTTGTGATTAGGGCAATCATGTTTCAAATTAGGGTTTTCTTTATGTTAATGAAGGCTCCAGTTTCATTCATATTTCATACTTGGATATTTTGTGTAGACCCTTTTGGAACAATGAGAAAAGGGAAAGTTTTTTATTTGTGGATTTTGGGTAGGGTTTGGAGTAGTGTTTGTGAGTTCATTGGTCCTTCAGTACTTCAATGGTTGAACGAAAATAAGTCCTTTTGGAATGTTGCATTTCGTTGTGGATGGGGTTTCTTGTGGTCAATCTATGTCTGTAGCATTTTGTTTGCTCTTTTGGTTTCATCGCTGGTGTTTAGTGGGTTTTTGGTGAAGGCTTTGGTGGAAAAGCCCTTTCAGATGAAGCAGGTTTTGAATTTTGATTATACTAAACAGAGTCCTGTTGCATTGGTTCCTATAATATCATGTTTTGGTGTTGCTGGTGAGCATCGTTCGGATGAGAGCGGCATTGCTGTTGATAGGTGGGTGAATAAAAGGGTAATCCCTTCTAAACAAAAAGTGCAGCTCACTGTTTCATTGCTAGTGCCGGAGTCGGGATACAACACAAAACTTGGTGTATTTCAGGTACCTTACTTTGCTATATGATTCATTTCATTTTTAAAGAGCCCTTGGTTCGACACGGTTACGCTTTCTTTACTTTGTAATTATGATGTTTTACTAGCTTTACATGTTCTAGTAGTATGAATGAGGAAGGTTATCATGTTTAACTAGCATTAGTATGATATTTATGAGCACTAGTGTATGCTTTTTGAAAATAGTTTTGTATGGAAACTTCATAGGTTTGTGTGCCATTTAACTCATTTGAATAAAACTCAACTAGACAATAGCCTAATTCTTGGTTCCCTCATCAATGATGCTGCCAAATTGCTTTTCATGTTAAGGTTGTGTTGGAGACTGAGATGTTTGGTAAAGCCTATTTGTTTCCTACAATTATAGTGTTGATGCTTTAAAATAACAGTTAGTTTTACTAGACAAAGAAGGGGATTAAATGTACTTGAGGGCTGTTCATTAATCATTGTTTCTTTGCGCATATATATACAGGGGCATTTTTGTAAAAACCGTCTTTACCTGCTTAAGGAATTTGGATTCAATAATAGAATTTTACACAGTCCTATCATCTTTTTGGGTAAAAATATCCAAAATACCACATGTTTCAGTATATATTCCATAATGCCACACTTTCAAAAAAATTTGAATTTTTTGGTTGATGATTGCCGCCCATTCATTGGGCGGTTATGTTTATATTTAAAGTGTGCCGCCCATTGGTAGGGCGGAAGAGACCAAGTCATAATTTTTTATTTACCTTTTTATTTTATTTATGTTTTAATATTATTAATATATATAATAATATATATTAATAATATTATTATATATTTATAATATTAATATATATTAATAATATAAATATTAATAATATAAATATAAATAAATATTAATATATATTAATATTAATATTTATTTATATTTATATTATTAATATAAATATATATTAATAATAATAATAATAATTTATTATGTGTAGTTAATAATAAATAATAATTTGTAAAATAAAATAATTATTAAATAGATAATATTATAATAAAATATATTAAATAGATAATATTTAGTTAAATATTATATTTATTACATTGTTTTTTATTTATTATATTTATTATATTTAGTTAATAATTATTAAATAGATATTATTAATATATATTATTATATATTATAAATATATAATAATATTATTAATATATATTATTATATATATTAATAATATTAAAACATAAATAAAATAAAAAAGTAAATAAAAAATTATGACTTGGTCTCTTCCGCCCTACCAATGGGCGGCACACTTTAAATATAAACATAACCGCCCAATGAATGGACGGCAATCATCAACCAAAAAATTCAAATTTTTTGAAAGTGTGGCATTATGGAATATATACTGAAACATGTGGTATTTTGGATATTTTTACCCAAAAAGATGGTAGGACCGTGTAAAATTCTCAATAATAATTGAAGTTCATTATTACCTGTTGCTTGCTTGCTTATGAGTTCTTCTTTGGCACTTTTATAGATCAGGGTAGACTTCTTATCTTCTAATGGTAAAATAATTACAAGTTCGAGGCAACCTTGCATGTTAAGATACAGAAGTGAGCCTATCCGCCTAGTCACGACTTTCCTCAAGATTGTGCCGCTACTAACTGGTTATATATCAGAGACCCAGACCCTGGATGCCAAGATGAATGATTTTGTTGAAGGGGATGTACCTACTTCATGCTTAAAAGTAACCCTTGAGCAGCGAGCGGAATATCTACCTGGAGCTGGCATTCCTCAAATATATGATTCATCTATACTTGTTGAATCAAAACTTCCTTTGATCAAGAGGGTTTTATGGTATTGGAAGATTGGCTTATTTATATGGATTGCGATGACGGTATTCGTGATGGAGCTGCTCTTTGTTCTTGTGTGCTGCTGGCCTATGATTATTCCAAGAACCAGGCAAAGGAGTGGTTCTGCTCGCCGTACTAGTAGCCAAAACAATCTTCAGGCACCGAGTTGAGTTTAGTTCTTTTCCTAGTTCTTCTGACATGTAGATGAGTCGATCCATGTTCTAACTTTCATTTTTTTCTTCAAAATTTCTTCCCCAACCACATTGTACATGTTTAGTTTAGTGTGTATAATACATATCTGAATGTAAAGTTGTATGTGTGATTTGTACTCTGGTATTTTATAGTTTTTATGCCAAGAAAACGAATAATGAATTGGTTTAACAAGTTTCTTTGTACATGAAAAATTGAAATAAAATGTAAGATAATCCTCTAATGTATCAACAAGCACTGATGTTTGAACTGAATGTCATTGTTCGACCTTTGAGTCTATATGTTAGAGAAATTGATATTTTAGGAAATGTGTAGGAAATTTTTTTAGGAAAAAATGTAACTGACTAGCATAAAGACTGTGCCAATAATACACTTGAAATTTGACATCTCAAGTTAGGAAAAGAATGACTTTTGATTATTTTCTTCTAGTATCAAGTGTTCTAGAAAAATTTTAAATTTTAAATAGTTCTGCCCTCACTATATATGAAAAAAAGGACAACAAAAAGGCTCAAAAAGTTAACTACAAGGGTTCAAGCACGAAGGCACCAGTGGTACATAACTATTCCCGGAAACAAACAATACACAAGCAGGAAAAACCTCTAAAAATAACATTAGTAGCTATTCCCTCAAGTGACTATTACCTCAAATAAACCACACCATCAAATGAAAAATTATACTGAGACCAGCTCTGATCCTAGACCTACTCCAACGATATAAAAACCCTTAAAATGAAGCAAATAAATATTAAATATCCATAAGCCGGACAAAAGATCACAAAAATTATCTAAGAATTGGCCACCACACATTAGGGATGAGTAAAACATTATGCCTAAGAATGTTCATCTTATAGAGGAGTTGTCAGGAAAAGACGACCACTTTATAATGCGGCCAACTAATTCAAATTAAGGACAAAATATGCCTATCTCTAGTCGTGGAGATGAGAATACCAATGTTAGTATTAAGGACAAAATATGTCTATCTCTAGTCGTGGAGATGAGAATACCAATGTTAGTATTAAGCAGGGCGTTATAAGTCAATGCATCGAATAAACAATTTCTTTCTCATGTCACCCTCACCAACAATATTTATTTAAGGGAAAATTGTTGTCTTGAATAGTCAAAAAGAGATTATCAGCTAATACCCATTCTCAAACAAATAGGGGTTTCCTTCACTAAAGGTCTCAAATCAAAATCCTTTCCTCTCAAAAATTGATCTCACCCACTTTCATATCTTGTTGAAAAAGATATGATGAAGTATACAAAGTCTAACTTTATGAGAGATTAGTCTCACCTAAGGAACTTCCCATAAAGGGGTGAGAAGTCCAATCTCCACCTTCTTACATAGACTATCTACAAATCAATTTGAAGATATCTTTTTATCAGAATCGAGAAGAGAGACTCATTTCCATCTAGTAGAAGAATTTCATAAACTAGAAGACCTACCCTTATTAAAAGAAGAAACAATCCAATCCATATATCTAGCGAAGAGAATATCACATAACAACCCAGTAGTACCAAAGATCAATCTCCACCACCAGTTACCTAGAAGAGGAAAATCAATCAAGCGAAGATCATTAACATCCTATTCACCCTGTGGTTTTTTGGATCGAACTCTAGTGTCGATAATGGTAGTTTCATGGTTCGACAGAAGTTGTGCATGTTATAGTCAAAGTCTGTTCAAGCATGCTGTCGGAATATATTAACTTGTAATTTAAGTTAGTATGTCAAATTGGGCTTTTCCTGTAAGTCCAATTGTTTAAGTTTGCTTGTTGCTCAAGTTAGCTTAGTAATATATAAATAGACTAGTTCTCTTAGGTTGTTGAGAGAGGTTAATTATTGGTATTCACTTTTAATCTTGAGCCCTTATTAAGAAAGTGAATAGTAAAACAGTTTTAACCAATTCTTATTCTTCTTCTTTTTTCTTCTCTATCTTTCGTGAAACCTAATAGGGTTTCTTATGTTTATTCAAGAAACTCAATCTTTTTCTCATATTTTAGTTTGTTCTTGAGAATATCAATTTAAAATAAACTGGTGCAGTGAGTTTGGAAAAGGAGATGTCGTCAACAAAGTATGAGATTGAGAAATTCATCAGTGTGAATGATTTTGGTTTATGGCGCTTGAAGATGCGAGTCCTTCTTGTTCAATAGGGTTTGTTAGAAGCGTTGAAAGGATCGGAGAAGATGGATGTTGCTCTAACAGAGAAGGAGAAGACAACGTTGGTAAAAAAGCCCACAGTGCATTTGTGTTGATCCTTGGTGATAAGGTTCTCCAGCAGGTTTCAAAGGAGAAAACTGCAGCTAGTGTGTGGACGAAACTTGAAGGTTTGTATATGAAGAAATCTTTGGTTAATTGTCTCTACCTAAAGCAAGCTTTATATTCATTCAAGATGAGTGAAGACAAAGCCCTGGCCGAGCAGTTAGATATATTCAACACGTTGATTCTTGATATTAAAAATATCGAGGTCAAGATTGATGATGAAGATCAAGCATTGTTGCTGTTGTGCTATTTGCTTAAGTCTCATGCTCACTTCAAAGAAACTCTCTTGTATGAAAGAGAGTCGTTGACCTTTAAAGATATTCAATCTGCCTTGTACTTTAAGGATTTAAACAAATGAGAGGAGCACAAACCATCTTCTGTTGGTGAAGGTTTGCCCGTTAAGGGGAAATTTTTGAAGAAAGATGGTAGGTTTGATAAGAAGAAGGGTACAATTTTACAAAATTCTTATGGTGGTAATGCTTATACTATTAAGTGTTATCATTGTAAGAAGGAGGGTCATAGAAGAAAAGTATGCCTTGATCATCTGAACAATCATGGTGGAAAGAATAATGGTAATGCAATCATTGTGTAAGATGGTTATGAACTATCTGATGTCCTGGTAGTTTTAAGCAGCGAATTTAGCAAGGAGTGGATTATGGATTCAGGGTGTACTTGACACATGACTCCAAACAAAAATTTGTTTGAGGAATTATGTGATTAAGATGGTGGATCAGTGCTGCTGAGAAACAACAAAGCTTGAAAAGTTACAGGTATTGGATCTGTGAGATTCAAGCTCTATGATGAGTGAATAAGGCTATTGACTGATGTTAGGCATGTACTCAATATTGAGAGGAATTTAATTTCTCTTGGTGAATTAGAAAAGAAAGGATATATTTTCAAAGGAGAGCAAAGTATTCTAAAGGTAATGAAGGGGTCGAAGGAAGTCTTGAGAGACGTGAAGAAACAAGGCATATATGCCCTTGAGGCCAAGGTTGTAAGTTATTAAGCAGATGTGGCATCCATAAAACATGTGTTGAAGACTGAGCTATGGCACAAGAGACTTAGCCATGTCAGTGAAAGAGGCCTAGTCGAATTATCGAAACAAAATCTGTTGTGCAGTGACAAGGTTGAAAAACTGGAGTTTTGTGAACCTTGTGTATTTGATAAATCTTGTAGAATGAAGTTTAACAAAGGTTAGTAAAGAACATATGGATCCCTTGATTACATTCATGCTGATCTTTGGGGGCCTGCAAGGAATCCTTCACACTTAGGTGCAAAGTATTTTCTATCCATAATTGATGTTTACTTCAGAAAGTTATGGGTATTCATCCAGAAGACTAAGGATGAAACTTTTAAAAATTTCAAAAGTTGGAAGACTTTGGTCGAAAATCAAACTAGCAGGAAGATCAAGAGGTTGAGGACCGACAATGGTCTTGAATTTTGTAATGAGGCTTTCAATAACTATTGTGTTGCGTCTGGTATTGCAAGGTATAAAACTACTGCAGATACTCCCCAACAAAATGGTTTGGCTGAAAGGTTTAGTCAAACTATTTTGGAACGAGTGAGGTGTATGTTAGTTAGTGTAGGATTGAAGAAGGTGTTTTGGGCTGAGGTAGTCATGAATACAACTTACTTGATTAATAGGTGTCCCTCGACAACTTTGGGAATGAAGACATCTGAAGAAGTCTGGTCGAGACATCCACCTAGTCTCGACACACTTAGAGTATTTGGTTTTTTAGCCTATGCTCATATTAGGCAAGACAAGGTCGAACCTAGACCTCTGAGACGTATATTCCTTGGATACCCTGAAAGAGTCAAACATTATAGGTTGTGGTGTCTAGAGCTAGGTCACATGATGCGTATCATAAGTCGAGATGTAGTTTTCAATGAAACTGAGATGGCTTTTAAGAAAACTGATGACATTGGTCGAGTTTGAAGATCTCTAAAGAAGAGCTAAAACATGAAGAGATTCCTATTGAGGTGGAGCATAATAATGCTGAATTACATTACCCAGATGAAGTCAAAGTAGATATATAAGCTACTGTTGAAGTTGAGGAAATTGATAATGACTACCTGCTGGAAAGAGACAGGTCGAGAAGAGTCATAAAGCCACATCAGAGACTTCGTTATGCAGATCTCTTAGCTTAAGCCTTAATATCTGCAAGTGAGGTTATTGACAAAGAACCTAGAGACTATAAGGAAGTCATGAGGAGTCGAGATAAGACTGAATGACTGAAAGCCATGGATGATGAGATGAAATCTCTCCATGATAATAACACTTGGGAGTTGATCGAGAAACATGTAGGGCCCAAGTTAGTTAGCTGTAAGTGGATCTTCAAGGTTAAGGAAGGAATCAAAGGAGTGATGTCGAACCGTTCTAAGGAAAGGTTGCTTGCTAGGGGGTTCACTCAGAAAGAAGGTTTCGACTTCAATGATGCGTTCTCACCTGTTTTAAATCATAGACCCATTAGAGTATTGCTTGCTATGGTGGCGAAGTTCGACCTAGAACTTGAACAGATAGATGTAAAGACAACCTTCCTGTATGGTGATCTAGATGAAACAATCCTGATGAGGAAACCTGAAGGGTATGTAGAAAAGGGAAAGGAAGATTATGTGTGCAAGCTAAATAATTCTTTGTTTGGCATGAAACAATCTCCTCAACAATGGAAAATGAGATTCGACAAGTTCATGACACACATTGGTTTCACTAGGAGCTAGTTTGACCATTGTGTTTACTTCAGATTTCGACATGGATATTCACTTGTTATTTTGTTGCTTAATGTTGATGACATCCTCATAGCAAGCAACATTGTCAAAGAAGTTATGAATGTGAATGTTGAACTCGATAAGGAGTTCGGCATGAAGGATATGGGAGTTGCGTCTAGAATTCTTGGGATTGACATCTAGAGAGATAAAAAGTAGTCGAAGTTATGCTTATCTTAAGAGACATATCTGAAGAAGATTCTCGACAAGTTTTGTATGTCGAATTCAAAACATGTTCTAACACCGACTAATCCTTAGTACAAGCTAAGTATGACTTAAAGTCCTAGTACTGAAGTCGAAAGAACCTATATGAATATCATCACATATGCTAGTATAATAGTTCCTTTGATGTATGATATGGTCTGTACAAGGTCATACATAACGTATGGAGTGAGCCTTGTAAGTGGATATATGGCCAATCCTGGGAAGGTGTATTGACATGCATTAAAGTGTATTCTTATGTACATCAATGGGTCTCTGAGCAGAGTCTTGATTTATGGTAGAGCATATGGTGATGATAGCAAAGTTGAAATCAAAGGGTTTGTCGACTCTGATTATGCAGGTTGTATGAATTCCAGAAAATATATTTTTGGATATGTGTTCACTATGTTTGGCACAACAATTAGTTGGAAAGTAACACTTCAGAAGATTTTTGCCTTATCAACCACTGAAGCAGACTATATTGCCCTCACTGAAGTTATGAAAGAAGCATTGCGGCTTGAAGGTTTTGCTAAGGAGCTGAAAGTTCAAGGTCGAGTTATCACTGTTAATGTGATAGTCAAAGTGCAATACACATGTCGAAGAATTCACCATATCATGAGCAAACCAAGCACATCGATGTAAGGCTGCACTTTGTCAGAGAGATAATCGAGCGTGGAGAGGTTCAAGTGCTGAAGGTTTCGACTGATGACAATGTTGTAGTCAAAGTACTAAGACATTGTCGAATATCAAGTTTTTCCACTATATGCAGTTGATAAAGCTGCAAGATGAAAGATAGTTTATTACCTTGTTAGTGTAGAGTTTGTTCTAAGGTGGAGATTTATGATTTTTTAGATCAAACACTAGTGTTGACAATGGTAGCTTTATGGTTCGGCAGGAGTTATGCATGTTGTATTCGAAGTCTGTTCAAGCATGCTGTCTAAATATATTAACTTGTAATTTAAGTTAATATATTCCCTGGTCAGTGTAAAGTTTGTTCCAAGGTGGAGATTTGTGGTTTTTTGGATCAAACACTAGTGTCGACAAGGGTAACTTCATGATTCGACATAAGTTATGCATGATGTAGTCGAAGTCTGTTCAAGCATGCTGTCAAAATATATTAACTTGTAATTTAAGTTAGTATGTCAAATTGGGCCTAACTTGTAAGCCCAATTGTTTAAGTTTGTTTGTTTCTCTTTAGTAGTCTATAAATAGACTAGTTCTCTCAGTTTGTTAAGAGAGGTTAATTGTTGGTATTCACTTGTAATCTTTGAACCCTTATTGAGAAAGTGAATAGTAAAACCATTTTAACCAATTCTTATTCTTCTTCTTCCTTCTTCTCTATCTTTTGTGAAAACTAATAGGATTTCTTGTATTTGTTCAAGAAACTCAATCTTTTTCTAATAATTTGGTTTGTTCTTGACGACATTATTTCACAACAAACATCTTTGCTTAGACTCGGGGACATCAACCAGTTTAATCCAAAAAATATTAAATTCACCTTTCACCCTACCCTAAAGGAACTTTCTTTGAATTTCGACAATCGTCTTTTACACCTAAACACACATTTTCAAAAAGGACAAGAATAAGACAACAATCAAATTGAGAGGAACCACCCTCCCTCTAGGCTTACAAACACATGAGTCCACAAAAGAAACCCTATGATAATAAGAGTAATTAAATGTTCTCAAGTAGTCTCAAGCCGAAGGTTAGCACCCACAGGAAGACCAATAAATTTGAAAGGGATAAAGTCTCATGTTAATAATGAAGGAAGTTACTTGTTAAATCTATGAAATTTGGGTCTACATTATCCCTTATAAAACTACTCTTAGCAAAATTAACACGGAATTCCAAAACAAACTCAAAATCTTGAAAAATAACTTTTAGCGAGAAACTACACCCAAGATAAAGGTATAATCTAAATATTTTCAAATGAAAATGTCTAACCAAATAGTTGATTCATAGTTAAAGATTGATTTTTGATTAATCAAACATCAGCTAAATTAACCCTTAATGATGGTTTCACTTGACATTTTTCTTCATTGAAAATGAAGAAAATATTTCATTACCTTAAATAAAATATACAATCCATGTGATTTTCAAAATATTTTAATGTGATTAATTGTTAGTATATATTTACACTATTGTCAAGATTTGAACTTTAGACCTCCAACCCATTTTAACTCTTTCAAGTTAGTTGAGCCACCCATCTCATCCCTCAAAATGAGTTGAGATGCACATGAAAATTTGTGAAAATTATGATCGTGTAAAATCTTGTTAAATCTGAAATTTAATATTCAATTATTTGATGCAACAAAACTTCTAATTCCTAACGAAGTACTGGAACCACGTGAACCATATATATATATATATATATATATATATATATATATATATATATATATATATATATATATATATATATATATATATATATATATATATATATATATATATATATATATATATATATATATTAAAAGTAGAATGCCACAATCAATCCATTAATATAAAGATAAACTTGGCAAACCAGAATACAATAAGACAAACGTGTTACAACGTTTTAATATTACACTGTTAATTAATGTTGATCTTCAAAACTATAATCTGAAATATTCTTGCATCTTTACATTAAATGACCCTTTAAAGCAATTTCTTTATATAGTAACATTTTGATTTCCCTTAAAAATTTCAAGATCCATATATTTAAGATAAAACATGGGGCATTTATAAATGAAGACCAAACATGTAGATCAACAATACCATAACTATGGCTTTGCTCCTTTTAGAAAAGATCCACTTTTGGTGATTTCACGAACCGGTTTATCAGTGTACCTAATGACATTATAAACCCATGCACCAGATACGGCCCCTAAAATCGGAGAAACCAAATATATCCATATTCCTCGATATTCATTGTGCACAAAAGCCGGCCCTATGCTTCTGGCCGGATTCATCGATGCTCCCGTGATTGGCCTGTCATATTTAATCAATTCATTTATATATTTAATTTAAAGATTTTTTACACGATCAATCAGTTATAATATTCGAATCAAATAAAATATTTTATTTTAATGACAATCATTTAAAAAATCGCACATAAGTAGCTAGCTTTAAGATAAATTAATACCCTGCAAACAGCACATTCAAAAGTACAGTAGATCCAACGGCAATCCCAGCCAATTCACCAATCTGCAAATATGAAAATAAAACAAATATATAAAATAAGATGATCTAAGAATTATAATTATTCAAATATGGTTTTTTTGTTTCGTATAAGCTTTGTCTTTTTACATCTAACTCTACTATTGTCATTTTTCCAAATGGCCCAAACGTTACAGCTAGTCAATTAACTTGTCACTTTTTATATTAGAGTTTGAAAATGTGACTAGCCAACCTCTATTTTGCTACACACGTGTAGAATCAAAATTCAAACTAGTATTTTACACAATCTAAGAAAGAAAACAAAGTTTAATTTAGGACGGTTAAAACGTTACCGCTCTGTTATCGGTGGCAACTCCAGATATGATAAACATAAGATAAAATGTGATTATGAATTCCATCACAAAAGCTTGCAGATTTGATCCAGCTGCAAGTGTTCCTACAAACTGATCATGTTTGCCACTAAATAATAATCTTAGAGTTCCACTTGCAAGTGTGGAACCAAAAACTTGAGCTGCAATATAAGCTGGTACCTATACAAAAACGATAATTTGAAAATAAAGGTTTTATTTAAAGATAAAGTATCTTTCAATCTATTATTTTTCTAGCTACATGTATGTGAACACCCAATGTTGGATTTTAATAATTTTTTCAATGAAATGGTGTGTTCACAATGTGAAAAATCTTGGATATTGTAAAATATTGTGAAAAGGTCAAAGTAGGGTGAGGAGGATGAACTAATTTGACCTCTAATGTCCTAGTTGAAAAATGATGAGTTTGGTGTACCTGTTTCAATGGAAATCTTCTGGTGGTAGCAAAAGCGATCGTAACGGCGGGATTGAAATGAGCGCCGGAGATATGACCAAGAGAGTACACAAGCACCATGACGGCGAGTCCCCAAACCATTGAAATTCCAGGAAGTGTGACAACATTGTCGTGGTTCTTGTTCACCGCCACCGAAGCACAACCGGCGAATATTAAGAAATATGTTCCTGCCACTTCAGCTACCAACTAAAAAAACATGAATCCGTTTAATAAACAAAAAACAGAACATGATTTGATTGTGTTTTGAAGAGAATAATAAGAAAGAAAAAACGAAACCTTTTGCAAGAGAGAAGCAGTGGCAGGTTCGTTTGAATCTTGAGTTGTGTTAGAGACATCCTTGTTTACGTTTACAACAATTTCATTGGTTTCATTGCATCCTGAATTGTCACCCATCACTTATATATAGAGGAATAAGAAAATTTCTGATCAATGAACAAGAAAATTACATGTGATTTTACAAGGTTGTTGGAACGTATATTGCTTTGGCTTGTGAAGAACAGAGAAAAGCTTATTTCATCTCTTGTTCATATATTATATGATATGATCTATTTTTTAATATTTCTATGTTAACGGTGGTGTACGATTTGTGACAATTATTGCTTTTTAAAATATGAATATTTTATTTATTTATTTTAATCCTCTGATATTTGGGAGAAGGGGTTTGGATAATCTCGAATTTAAATTTACTATAAATAAGGTCAAACTTGTAATTATATTTTATGTTAAAATTCTAATTCTTTACGATTATCCTTCTATATTTGTTCATATTCGTTGTAAAAGTATCACGTATCACATATTAACAGCAATTTTTTTATAAAAGACATTTGAATATGCCAAAATTGCTATATTAATTTAATTAATTTATATATAAATCTAATAATTAACTTTAGACCTAAATATCTATTCTAAAAGAATCCAAAGAGTTATTAACTATGTCTGTTACCCCTAACTTACCACATTATTTGGAGCACGATAAAAATTATTAAAGAAAATTAATACACAAAAGAGGGTGAAAGAAGGATCATAAATAAGGTATTTTTATCATTACCGAGACAAAAAAAAAGAATGATAATTATTTTGATACTTTTAATTTTTGCCAATTCGGTAATGTGTAATAAAGGAATTTAATTTTATTCCATTATTAACTAATTTTATGGAAAATATAATGTTTTCCTGGTTCTATGAAAAAATAATTTTTTATTTATATATAAATAATTCTAATATATTTAATAAAAAATATTTGGTTGTTTATGATATTATAACTCTTTTTTAAAATTATAAATATGTGACTATAGATAAAAGTGTTTCTATTTTCTAGATTTTTAAAAATTTTTTTTTATATAATTATAATTCTTTTCATCATATAATACTTCAATTCTCGAGTTAGTTTTTAATGTATATACTTATATACATAATTGTTAGTGATTTGCAATGTAGTAATTTGTAATCTTACCTACCATCAAGGGCAAAACTTACTTAAAATACACTAAGAAAGAAAATATGTTTAAATAATTAAACAATTCAATAGAAGAAATTAATAAAAATATAATTTTATTATTAAAATACTAATAAAATTATAATCTATATATTTTATAGATTCCAAATAGGGAAAAAGAAATTAAAATATTAAAAAAAAAGTTAAATATATAAATAAAAAAATTGTTGAAAATGAAAATATTCAAAGACTCAAAGGATTAGTTCAAAAAATTATAAATTATTTTAAATAATAAAAAAAATAGTAAATCTATAACAAAATTGGACTTCGAAGAAATCTTAACAAAAAAAACCTTTACAATTTCTAAGTATAAAATCCTCTAAATTTTCAAAACCAATAACCATATAGAGTGGTTAAAAGAAGAATATTTAGAAAAATTAGATTGGAACCAATGATTACATTTGATAAATACTTGTACTTGTCTGATATCAAAGTAATCAATGAAAGTTATTCTAAACACTTTCTCTTTCATCAAATATCTCTCTCTCTCTCTTTAAACTTTCACTTGCAACGATGAATTTCAATGTTCATATTCATCACCTTTAATAAGAAGAAACTGAACAAGAACACCCAATAAATGATGAATTCTGTAATGAACGCAATCTAACAATAGCAACTACACCATGATTTTTCGACTATGCAAACTATCAATTAGGTGAGAATATCCCTCTAGATTTTAACTATCAAAAAATAAATAATTTCCTGCATGATCATAGATTATATGCGTGTGATGATCCATTCCTCTATAAGAGGGGGTGGATGGTTTAGTGAAAAGATTTATACCTGAGAGGGAACAAAGAAAGATATTGAAACACTTCCATGATTTCAAATATGGGGTTCATTTCAATGAAGATCGTTCAACAAATAAGGTACTCCAATTCTAGTCATATTGGCCATCCATGTTTAAATATGCATTTTACCATGTAACATGTGTCTGTTGTCAACGTACGATAAATATTTCTAAGAAGAATGAGATGCTCTATAACCCTATATTAGAAGTGGAACTCTTTTATGTTTGATAAGTGGAATTCACTGGACCATTTTCTCCCTCATTTGGAAAAATCACATCTTAGTATTACTAGTAAAATTTGTATCGAAATGGGTGAAAGAAATATCACTTCCAACTAATGATGCAAAGGGAGTGTGGATTTTCTAAAAAAGAAAATCTTCTATCTAGAGCCTTAGTTAGTGATGAAGGAACTCATTTCTTCAATCAAATGATGGAAAGTTTACTTTAAAAAAATAATGTCCATCATCAAGTAGAAACACCTTATCATTCTTAAAAAAGTGGGCAAGTGGAAATCTCTAACATAAATATTAAATAGATCTTGGAAAATACATTGAATGCCTTAAGGAATAATTGGTCGAACAAGACAAATGATGCATTATGAGCAATACCATGAATGTGAGAAAAACACAAGAAAAAACGAGGTTGAATTGTATTGAATTTTTCTTTCTTTTTAAACCTTGAGTCAAATTTTAAACACAAGGTTATATAATATGATTTAGTTAGAGGTAGGAAGCGAATATGAATTGCAAGAAAGAAAAATAACACGCAGAGTTATCCTAATTCTTCACACGACTTGAGAGTAATCCATTACCCTTGTACTTATAGGATATTTTCACTATATTCACACAATATTACAATTTACTCAAGCACACAAGCAAGAGATTTTCTTTGCTCTAACACACAAGTAAAAGACTTCTATGCTTAATCACACAAGCAAGAGACTTCCTTTACTAAAACACACAAGTAAGAGACTTATATGCTTAAACACACAAGCAAGAGACTTCTTTGCTTAAGCACATAAGCAAGAGGTTTCAAATGCTCAAAAACTTAGTGGAGACTTCTTACAATCTACCTAGCAGATGAATGATTGTTGGAAAAATATACTTGATATACAATCAAAGGTGTATAAATAATACACATCAAATGAACTATTTAAGACTTAAGGATTTCTAAGATATACAAGGATAAGAAATCCTAAGTTTAACTTGTGATTTTCTTTAACAGAGTAACTTCTATTTTGTTTTCAATCACTGTATATTAACTTATCCTTCTTCAAGTCTTTACCCCCTTAAATAGAGAAGAAAATGAGTTGTTAAAGATGTAACATATTATAGTTCTTTGAGAAGCTTTAAAAGAGACATTAGGATGTTTCACCAAATTGCCAGGTTAGGTGAAGGCTAGTTTGAAAACCCTTTTCTACAAAAGTAATTAGCAATCTATGAAGAAAATAGAGCTTAGGCCTTCACGTGACAAAGCATGTTCAGAGATGAACAATAACCTATTAGGATCACCTAGGTCCTTGCGCTCTGACACGCTCAGGTTCTAATCCCCAGAAACTGACTTTTCCTAAGTCTGCTCTTTAGAGGCTGACTCCTTCTGACTCTAATCTTCGAACGTTGACCTCTTCAAAAGATGACATCTTTAGAGTTTTGTCTTTTGCTTTTGATCCATTAGATTTTGATCTTTAAGTTTCTCATTGAATGTTTATAGTTAGAATCAATACTTAGATTTTATATGAAATTTTAGTCTATGATCCTGCACACTTCAATAAACATTAGTATATCCAATTGTTCTTTAAATACTTTGTTATCATAAAACCTACGGGATATGAGACAAACTAGTTTTGTTCCAACAATCTCCCCTTTTAAATGATGACAACAAAAGTATTTAAGAACAATGATTGATAATTTATTTAACTAGTTGACTTCAGCGTCTGAGGTTTGTAAGCTCCCCCTGAGTCTAACAGTCCATAGGGTTAGGTTTGTAAGCTCCCCTTAAGTCCTATACAGGTTAATTAAATTTAAGCATATAAAGTGCAATTAAAATTCTTCATAACTTAAACAAAATAATAACTGACATGTTTCAGGAGCTTAAATACTTCTATATCTACTCTCCCATTAGTCATCAACAAAAATAATGAAATAAAATAGAAAAAAATCTGAAGAAATTATTTCATATAACCAAAAAAGATTTAGATGTCTGAAAACATATTCAACCAGAAAATGTTTGGGATGTTATCATTGTTTCCCTTGAAAATCAGAAAACAACCGCTGATCTTCCAAATCTAACTTTGGTGACTCATAGGATCGATCATATTGATCCTAGGACATGTGCTAAAAGATTTATTTTTTGGTTTTAAGAATTTATCCAAGTTCCACACTCGAATAGGGTTGGGATAAACAGAATCCTAAAAGAACATCTATTCGACTACGAGTTAATTTGAAAGTAAAATAAGGCTTCTAATAAAAGAGAAGAAAGTTTATTGGTAAAGGTGAATTTAGTTTGAGGGCGAAGAGAAAAGAATTGCGCAGAAGTAAGGTAAAGAGTAAAAGGGTAAGGACAATAAAGGCAATAGAAGACTTTGTAAAACTTAAAGTAAAAACAAATAAATTGCATTAAGTTTAAAAGATGGTGTGTTTACATCACGTACATTCTCTTACAATACTCGCTTTCTCTACACTCGGATACTTGGAGTAATTTCAAGAGTAACTTGCATAATAGTAAATTACAACACACTTTGGATATGTCTAAGACACTCTATTTATAGTAACAAAAAATAACCTCTAATAACTTCCACCATAATCTCCTTCCGCCACTTGTCTTAAATGCATGAATCCATTATTCATAAGGTGACACGTGTCTCCCTCCATTTTCCACAAGCAAAACCGTTTCCTCCAACATTCAAATTTCAAATACTTCGAAACATCATTCGTTATTGGCAGGCGGTCGAACTCTTGGCCTCGGGGTGAGTCCTTCGACTTAGCTTCTTCCTCCTTTCGACCATTTTCTTGCATTCAAGGTATTCTCCACCCTTTTCTTTGGACACTTTCTTTCTAGCTGATGCGTCGAATTTAGGAGCTAACAAATTGCCCCCCACAAATGTCTTTT